CTGCTCCTGGTTGTGAGAAGGAATTACTTATGAAGGGGTTCTGATAGCTTCTTTGTAGACTAGACCTCATAAATGCAAAAAAAACCCCTTTCTGTAAGTTTCCAAGCAACTGCTTTAGTTCTGACTTTCTACCGGTGGGAAAAGTAAGAGCTACTTTTTGGTCATAGTTAAAGTTGGCAAAAGCTTTCAAACATTTGCTGCCTTCCGTAGAAAATCCAGCATAATGGCACTGCCAATGGTTTGCAAACAGTTTTGGTCATAAACTTGAAAGTTCTTGTATTTATGGGGACTAAATCAGACCTCAAGTAATACTGGAACATAACTCTGGTGGTCTAATCACTTAATTATGTCACTTTAACAGTGATACATTTTTATTATTTACAGAAGAGGTCATAAAACTCTTTGCAGATGTTTAACTTCTGATTATTTTAATTCTAGTAGTAAATAACATAGCAAAGTAGCTTTTAAAGATCTTCCCTGAGTGTATTTTTTATGCTTATGATATTCCCTGAGTAATGTTTTAACAATAGCTATAAGCTGAACATCCTTTTCTATATGTGCAGCCCTTAAATCACAGACTATAGTAAAATTCTGTTGCGAACCAAATAAATGGAGAATTGGTAGCTCCTAATTAACCAGTAAGAAAAGTTTATGAGAGGCAGATTGAATTAATATCAAAGCTTCTGAGTTATACTATCTTTCATAAATTGGCTTTTCTCCAATTAGTGTATGCTTTTAGAGGCAGGGCAATAAGATGAAAGGATCTGCATCAAAACTGATTACTGCTGAAACAAAAGGAAAGTTGCTGCTTTTGATAAAATTCAAGAGTATGGCAGTGCTTGAATAATTTTAGGGGAAGTTCCTGCCTAAGGCATATGTTTTACTGTCTGATACTGTATTCATGAGGAAAGACCATCTGTTTTTTTCAGCCTGAACAAGTATATGATCCAGACTGAACCACTAGAGGCCAAATATTGTTGCTGTGTGTTTTGCTTTGTACTATTCTCTACCTACAGCAGCATTCTCTTACATAGCACGTATCATTGCACATAGTTCAAATGCTGGCATTCAGAAATACTGTTTCCTCTACTGAGGTTTATAAAATGACTATCCAGGGCTTCATGCAATCCTCTACACTTCATCAGTCACTGGAGAAATAGTTCAGGATAGGAAAGAACAACTTCTGATGCGCTTTGACCACTTTGGCTCTTGAAACTTAGGGATTTATTTTTGCTGGACAGATCCTTGTCACATGCAGCCAGGTGAAAGGCTTTGCTCTATCCCCCATGCCTTTAGCTCTTGATGGGAAATAAGAGAGGTGCTTTTGTTGAAAGGCCTGAGTAAACAGATTAAATTTAAAAAGGTTAAAAAGTGAATCCTGAGCATTGATTTACTTTGAAGGAAAGCACATCAGTGATAAACAAACTACATTAAATATACCACAATACTTAATCCTTTTACTTTCATTGCTGGTGCTGTGTTTTACAGCACTTAAATTTATGGTTTTAGTTTTGCAAGGCTACTAGGACTGGGTTTGTCCCCTCCTCCAAAGTGCTTACAGTCTAATTTTAGACATAATATGCTGAGTAGCAGTAAAAAAAAATGTTCAGTGTTGGAGAGAAGAATGAGGGATAAAGGGATAAGAGTTGAATGCAAACATTTTTCATTTGTTCTTTAATATATTAATTGATAATAATGTTCCATTCCTTGTTGAGTTTCTGAAAAAAATGTGAGAATGAAAGGTAATAGAGGTTTAGAGAAATATCTTTCCAAGACTGTTCTTACCTATGGCTGTAAGGACTGTTCCTGCTTTTCATAGATAATCTGCAGAACTGTGTCTACCAGGTGCTAATCTAAGCTGCACCTGGCTTACCTGAATATTTACTTTTATTTGATTAATACACTGCTTAACTGTACCGGTTCCCTCTCCTGACTCAGTTTTCCTGTCTATCATGAATTAACACTTTGCCCACAGTGATCTTCTAAATCACAGTTCTGAGGAACTATAGCAAAGCAAGTGGTGGGTTACTGGAGGATGGTTTTGTGTCTGCAGGACTGGGCTGGGACTGGGTTCAGACTTATTCCACGTATAAAGACTTTCTGTGTAGCCTTAGGCAAGTCCCTTACCTTTTCTGTGCAGAGATCTCCAGCTGTGATATGGGAACAACAAGCTTTATTTTTTTTTCCTGATGCATCTGTTTTCTATAATTATGCAACAAGAGATCTCTTCCAAAAGAAAACTTGTAATGTGTATTTGTACAGAACCCAATACAACTGGGCCTCCAATTTAGTTGATATTACTGGAATACAACTAAACAAGAGCAATTTTTAATACCTAAACACAGAGGAAGCAAGAAAATATAATTTCAACTGATTCAGGACTAAAGACATTCAGCAAATGGAAATGACATCCTTTTACTGTAAATTCTTAGTCACTTCTTAATTTTATTTTGCCCTCTGTGCAAGCCTTAACAAGGAGAAACCGCATTCATGCCTATGACAGTAGGATGTAATTATAGGGGGGTTGTATCTGAAGACTGTAGCAGCTGAGACTGCTGGTAATGTTCTGGGAGATTTTCCTTTCAAAAAAAGTGGGGGAAAGGGGATAAAAATTGCTCACAAGGTGAATTTTTGTCACTGGAAAGAGTTTATTTATGAAACCTTTATTGTATATATGCTGATCTTTATCTTTCCTCAGTCTGGAAGATAGACTGCATACTGTTTTATTTATGATTCTTGGTAGAGCTTATATGCAAACTCCTGCCAGATTTGATTTTCAGAGCAGAACTTCACCCCAGCAGTTGGGTTATATGCTACAAAATGTGCCTACAATGTCTTATCACGTTGCACATCAGATACAGAAATGTTGAACAAATAGACTTAATTTTTGTCTAATGTACTGGGTATATTACAGCACTAATATTATTAAAGCACTATGGAAACTCTGTAAGTTATAAGGGAAAGACCAGCTTTAGCTCCTGAAGCACAAGTGAGGACAGATGCAAAAATATAATAAAGTTTGTATCCAGCAGTTAGAATCATAGAAGACTTTAAGTAGAAAAAAGCTTCCTCAGATCACCCAGTCCAGCCTCCTTCTCAAGGCAGAGCTCACTTCAAAATCAGTTCAGGGCCTTTTCCAGCCAAGTGCTGAAAATCTTCAGGGTCATTGATTTCACAGCCTTGCTGGGAAACTTCTTCCAATGTTGAACCACCTTCACTCTGAATTTTTCGTTATATCTAATAAAAATTTTCTTTCCTGCAAATTAAGTCCTCTTTGCCTTCTTTATAATCAGAATTAGATAGCTGAGTTCAGAGCCTCCCTTTGTCCAGGCCAGACAAACCCAGCTCTGCTCGGACCCTTCTGTGTCTGTCATGAGCTGCAGCCCCTGACGACCCTGGTGGCCCTCCATTTAGCTTGCTTCAGGCTGTCCATCAGTCTCTCATGCTGGGAAGTCCGAAACTGGGCACAGCATTCCAGTTGTGTGGGTTTTCAGATGCCATGCAGTGAGAGTTTATCACTTCCCTCAACCTGCTGGACACGTTCTTGCTTGTACAGCTCAGTGTGTGGTTGTGTTTTATTGTCATGAGAACACACTGCTGAGAGATGTTCATCTTGGCCACTAGAAACACCCACACACCCCCCTGCCAGTACTTTTCTTAAAAGCTGCTTTATGTCTTCAGAATGATTGTGTTGGTTAATGGAAACATCATATTGAAGAGCATATGCACCCTCTACACGGATCGGTAATTTATATGCTTTTTCCGTTTCCCTGGAAGAGGTCTGAGCCCCTTTTGTATCAGGAAGGAGCCATTTGTACTTTCTTACAGATACATATCTGCATCAAGTACTATTAATTGAATACCTATTCATGTTGGGTTAGAGCATCTGCTAACAGGAGTTCCAGGAATTCAGACAAAAGCAAAAGGCCTGCCCATTTTTGGTTGACTAATTGCCCAGCATGACTGGCAAATGTTTTAAGAAGGGAATTTGGAAAACACTGATAAAATCAATTATTAGTACTTGCAAAATACAGTGCAATAATTAAATATATAGAACATGCACTGCCTTGCATTCATTCAGCATGCTGCCTGGCTGCTGATTAGTCAGTTCATGGTATTGTGGGTGAAATGAACTTCTGATCCAATTCATAGATCGCTTCACCAGCACAGTGGTATTATTATTATTATTATTATTATTATTATTAAAGCAGTAAAACAGGAAAGGATATTCCTTATCATCCATAGTGTAGGCCTCAGAGTGATACCAGCTCTACAGGCTCGTGTCTGTGAACACCATGTGTGCTGTGTGCTGTAAGCATCAGACATGGAATATGCAAGAATTTCTACATTGATACTGAGTATTTTCATCCTCCTCGCAAAGAGATTTAGCAGCATATTGGTGCTTTGTTTTGCCTGCACATATATATATACTAAGTTTGTTCCCAGAATGGTGCCTGTTCATTTAGGGCAGTGGTGCCATAACTCAACTCTCAGCTTCTGGTAGTTTGTACATTATGTCTGTTGCTCAGTTGCGTCAGATGGGGAGTTAGATGCAACATCTTAGCTCCTTGATAGCTTATATGGCAGATATTTGTGATCATGTGTGGAAGAAAAGATTTTTCAGACTGGGGAGAGGACTGTCCCATTGGTGATGTTCCCTTAAAGCCACAGGATGGCATAAAGGTCATCATGATACCAAAAGTAGTGTTTGTGTATATTGTGTCATTTTCTCCAAGAAAATCTTGCTTCTTGTGTTTGTTTCCATTAATTCTACCAGAGTTGCTTAGGGCGTTTGGATTTAGTAATAGGCTGTTCTAATGTCTTCAATGAACAAAGTTAAGTAGAGATTGAACTCCCGTCTATTAATGAATTCTGATCATTCATAGTCTTCTATTAATGGTGGATCAATATTCTATTAATCGTAGGATCAATATAAATACTGGATCAGGGTTCTGAAAAATATTAACAACTATTAATATTCTTTCTTTTTCAGTTTTCTCCTTGTGTTTGGTTGCTTGATTTTGTCCGTGTTTTCTACTATTCCTGAACACACAAAACTTGCTTCTGGTTGTCTCTTCATTTTGGTAAGTGAAACTTCTAAATACAAGACAGTTTTACAGATACTTTTAATATACACTCAAATCTTCTCCATCACCATGGAGAAAATGGTATAATTCCTGAATGCTTTAAGAAAGCAGACTTTTCATCAGAATCATGAAAAAAAAATAAAATCGAGGATTCTACCATCTTTTTTCTTTAAAAACAGATCAGATTGTATGAAAGTGTTAATAAAGAGCTATATTGCGTCCCCTTCTGTGCTTGAGAATTAAGGTGGTTTATAACTGGTAGTTTTTCTACTGCAGTTTAGCAGTGACTGAGCATGAAAGACCTTTGATGATGCTGCCATTTATAAATTCAGTATGTAATAAGAGGCACTTATACTTAAAATAGGAAATAATTTTGGTATCTTAGATACCAATTTGTGCTAGCTACTGGTAGCTACTGACATTTTAGTGGCAGCTGCTGCTGTAGAACGTGGTAGTTTCATTATTTCTTCATAATACATGCTTTTTGTATTATGTTTATCTCTCCTTTTTATCCTTCTGAGATAGATATAAATGGCTTTAATCCCTAAATGTGCTTAACATTTTTCATGCACTGTATGGAAGCCACTTTATTCATCTGCTTTTTGATGGGCCATTTAGTTCTCCAAGTGATGGCCTGAGGATAGGCAGTAGCAATCATTAAAATGTCACTATATACCCAGAGTTACCATGGTTATTTCAGTTCCATGTATACCGCAGACTGTGGCTTGTTAGGTAGCGCCTGGGGTGAAGGTGCTGTTGACAAATGCCAACATTTCAATTGTCATCACTGTATGTATCTGAAAGCCCTGGTCTTCAGACCAGCTCCCCAATTAATTATGGCATGAGCAGGCTGATAAGCGTAATGATGGTGTTTGTCTGTACAACATAATGTGCCACTGCATCAAGATACCAAAACTAAATGTTGAGAGCTGGCTGGGTGCAGATGTGTGGTGTTCTGCTCCATTTGATGGTTTGTTAGCAGGGTTAATTAGAGCAGGCTGTGTTAAATGTGGTATTTTGCTTCCTAGCCATATAAATGCTCTTTCTTTTACTGGAGAAGAAATCAGGTGGTGTTAAACCAGCTAAGAGTGATCAGATTTAATCTTCCACACTTACCTACTCCCATTATTTACGTATCTGAACAACACTTTGCAAATGGAAGTTTGTTTTAATGTTATGCAACTAGTTACATTCTTGCAATCGCTGTACTAACTGCTAAGATGTTCTGGTACAGAAAAAAGGAAAATTTCATTAATTTGAAAATAGCCTATTTCTAATAGCAGATGCTTTTGTGGCAAGTTTCCCTGTATATTTATGCAACTTGTTTGTAGAGACACTATTTGTTCTGACATAAAATATGCATTTCCCATGAGCCACATACTTGTTGATTGTGTTGGTATGCTTACAACTGCTGATTTCTCAGCTTGCTGAGATGAAGCACATTCCCTGTGCTTTGCCATGGCTCTCCCAGGAGCCTGAATGTGGAGGAGCTCTGCAAAGTCTGTGTAGCTGTGTCTGTTGGTGGAGTTGCTCTGCTCAGGGATCTGCTGCAGGAAGCTGAGGTGCATCCTGCTGCTGTGGCTTCAAAGGTGGAATTTGTTCATCTTAACATTTCTGACTGTACATCCTGTGGCATCCTCTGGACACAGAATGGGCCTTAAGGAGGATGATGGTTAATTCTTGAAGCATCAATACTAGCCCAGTTCAGCATTTCTGTGCTATCGCCTAGTGTGTTCAGCAAACCCTTGGCAGGAGTAAACCTAGTGATGACAAATTTTACGGCTCCTGCTGTGGGTCTCTAATGGAGAAAAATATAAACACAGCAAAGTATGAAGTTCTAGAAGAAGGATAAAGCTGACTGGTTTGTCCAGTTTGCTGATGCATGGTTTGCTGATGTATGATTTGCTCCTTCTCTGCATACTGAATCATTAGCTGATATTAGCAATGCTATCAAAGCAGGCTTTTGCAACCACAAACCAAAAGAAAAGTAATTTCTGCATTATCTCAGGAGCAGCTGTTTTGGCTGTGCCAATACATATCTGCATTTACTAGAGTTTTTGCAACCTTTTCCTCACAGTGATTCACACAACTCTTACAAATGTGTCCTTTAGTAGAGACAGTTGTATTAACTGTCAGAGGTCTGATTTAATACTGTTTTGGTACGTGCTTGAGAGAGAAGATACATGTTTATTTACTAATGAAGTGCCATAGAAATACAACAATCCATAGAGCTGCCTGCTGGGTTTCTGTGAACTGTTTACCTTGAAGATTTATTCCAGATGGTTGCCCCTACAACCATGTTAATGGGCTAAATAAAAGCTAATGTAATGTTCCTTCACATTAATACCTGAGCTGCTGTCTGCATTGGCACCTGTGGCTTTTGACATATTGCAGCTATTCACAATTGCACAGGGAGGTTAAAGACGGAAGTGTAGATGAGATGAGCAAACCTTTCCCTCCTCCTGAGAAAGGCCAGAAGACCAGAGAAGCTCCTTGTTCTGTAATTAGTCAATTCCATTTATCTCCCTCAGCCTCGCCTTGCAAAGGAACAAAGAACAGATCTCCTAGTCACTGCATCCTAAATACTCTCTCAGAAACATACAACTGTGCGCAGTAGCTCAAAGTAAATAATTGGTTAGGCAAGCAGCTTCAGCTGAGGGCTTCTGCACTTCAGCAGAGGTTAATGGACTTGTCTGCACTGCAGGAATG